GCTCTTCTCTTTATCCGCTTGCGATTTCAAGGCAGCCAACTCATTCTTTGCTGCATCGCGTGAGGCATACCTGCAAAAAAAAATATATATCATAAATATATATATATAAAAAAAAAAAAGAGAAAATTGTACAAAAAAAAAAAAAAAAAAAAAAGCACACCTGCAAAAAAAAAAAAAAAAAAAAAAAAAAAAAAAGTTTTCCTTTTTAATCAAAGAAAATGGCACTTGACAATCCGAATCAAGGATGGAATCTTGAGGCACCAACGCTGATGTGAGAAGCGGATGAAGATGTCCATCTGATATTCCAAAACAAGAAATAGAGTTTAATAGACGATGACGTGTTCCACGTCAGCAGCAGCCAAGCCAAAAGTGGAAACTACCTGGAACCTGGTAGAGGTGAAAACGCTCCCCGAAAAAAAAGAAAAAAAGAAAAAGAAAACGCTCCCCCAAGTCACGCCCCTAATACCGGGACTGAAAAGGAGAAAAGACAAAAAAATCCGTGAATGTGGAAGCAGTTACGCTTGTCAAAAAAAAAAAAAAAAAGCAGCTCCTCTAACAATTCGCACGCACCTCACCCTTCCTGAGGTCTCTGAGGTCATTCTCCCACGACCACTTCTTTTTTTCTCACACGGACTGTGTATTTTTCTTTTTTTTTTTTTTGCACTTTCTTTTTTTTTTTTGCTCTTATGCAAGGCCTCTATCCCAACTGTCTCTTATACACATCTAGATGTGTATAAGAGACAGCTCTCTCTCTCTCTCTCTCTCTCTCTCTCGTAGTCTGCAGATACTGAGAAGTTAGGTAGCGAGAGGGTGAGGGAGAGATGGTGGACGTAGAAGAGGAAGAAGAAGAACTCTCTCTCCCTCTCTCTCTCTCTCTCTCTCAGTCCGGTACTAACCTGTGAAGGTGGCGCCTTGTTGCAGGTACATCGAAGACGAAGCTGGAGCTATGGCGCCACAGGTAAGTCTCCCTGGCCTCCGCCAACCATCTCTCTCTCTCCAACGCTACTCTAGCTCCTAATAGCGCCCAGCGCTGAAGACTACTGCTAACGCTACCACTACTACTGCAGCGCTCCTCCAGACGGCTGCGGCCGAATCCTGAAGACTGCCTCCTGCCTCCTGCACGCGAAGTGCCTGGGAAGTCCCAATGAACTACCTCCTCCACTCCTGCAGCCTGTAGGGCGGGCCAGTCTTATATAGTGCTGGCCCGTCCAGGAGGCTTCTCTTGCCAATGCCTCAACGTGCCGGACCCTGGCGTTGAAGTTCAAACAAAGGTTAGGTTGTCTTGAAAACAGGGACAAAATGGCCTGTGCTAAAACCCTGGTCTGGTGCCTAAGTTTCAGGGCATGTCGACTTTATGAGGGCCTGAAAATGGCCCTCGTTTTCAGGCTTTTAGGCTGAAACGACAAAGGGCCTGTAGGGCCCTGAATTTCCGTCTGGTCGGGCCCTGCAGGCCCGTGTGGCTACGCAGTATGCCACACAGAGAGAGAGAAAGAGAGGCGTAAGAAGAACTCTCCCTTTCGTTTTATCCCTCCTTAACTTCTCTTCGCACACCTCCTCTCTGCCCCGCACAGAGCCCTGGCTGGCAATCACTTGTTAAGGTAGAAAACAACTTAAGGTTGGGATGGGACGCAGCAACGGGGAGCAGCACATGGGAATGCAATCCCTTTCAAAGGAACACCAGACACCAGCCACGGTCCTCAGCAATATATGGATGGGTTTATCAAACTTCATCTTTTTCTTTCTTCTTTTTGGGTGATGAGGGATGTCAGCATCTGTTGTCAGCCAGGCGCCGCTCCCGACCGAAAGAAAGGAGCCATTAAAAAGAGTGACGGCCAGCAATTTTAGAGAACCTTTTTTCTAGTGAACACATCTCTTTTTTTTTTTTTTTGGGGGGGGGGAGGGGTGAGGAGGGAAGGGGGGGGAACGGTATTGGTTTCATAATTTTGACTCTTTTCTTAATTTCTAAGTCAATTAATCGCTGCCTGGGCAACCAGGACAGAGAAGTATTTGCACACAATCCTTTTTTTCTTTTCTTTTATTTATGGAATTTGCATAATTTTTCATAATGACCTCCCTTGTTATAAAAATTAATAATAATAATAATAATAATAATAATAATAATAACAATAATAATCACCTCCTTTTCTTTTTTTTTCATTCAACTTTTCCTTGAAAAAAAACTGTGACAATGGGTCTTGCTCTACTGCACAACATTCTAAATGTATGTGGAACTGGTACTTGTCTCAATACATTCAAAAATTCAAAATGCTTGATCCGTCCAAATGTATTTGGTACCATCTCGAATATTGAGTAGTGGAGCGAGGCCCAATGACTTCGAATTTCCTGGGGCCCGTCACCTTCCGATGTATATCTTTGTTTTTGTTTTTTTTTAACTTTTTTTTTTTTTTTAAATATAATATCATACTTCGTGTTCGTGAGCAATTATCGGCCATTGCTTCTTCTTCTTCTTCTATTGCAGCTCACCTGTGGATACATCTCAATACTTTCGCCATTTTCTTATTAAAAAAAAAAAAAAAAAAAAAAAAAAAAAAAAAAAACTTTAACCCATACCCTTTTTAGTAATCCTTTAACCCATACCCTTTTTAGTAATCCTGGCTCATCCAGCCCCAGGGCCTTCCTCTGTGCCTCCTCAGACTCCAGCTTTTGTGTGGTCCTCACGGTCTCTCTGATCTGCACGACGGAAAAAAATTGCGACCGGAAAAAAAAAGGGTGATTCAAATTTCAAACCTTATTGTTTATTCTATATGATTAGTTTAAAACACACACACGCAGAAAAACAGAAGCACGAAACTTAAAAAAAAAAAAAAAAAAAAAAAAAAAAAAAAAAAAAAAAAAAAAAAAAAAAAAAAAAAAAAAAAAAAAAAGCACATACCTTCGGAAAACAAAGGATGTGCATGTGCGTGACGTGACCGTAGTATAGTAAAGTACACACTGCACAGTGTACACTCGTACACACGGTTTACACACCAGTATTCATTCATACTGCTCATTATGAAAGACAGCGTACTTCGGACCCGTTTTCCGGCTATCAAAAGAATGGCCACTTTGTTTAAAAAAATAAAAAATATAAAATATAAAATAAAAAATAAAAATAAAAAGAAAGAAAGAAAGAAAGAAGGAAAGAAAGAAAGCTAGAAGAAACACGCTGTACAACAGATCACCAATGTCTCGAGTTCACAGTAAATGAAGCGTCCGCTTTCGACATCACTTTTGTGCAATGGCATTCGGACCGTATTCCTCTTTTTTTTTACTTTTTTTCTTTAAGGTATTAATACCTAAGACCCTGAACCCTTAAACCCTAAAGACCCTGAAGGGCCTGAACTCTTAAAGACAAAGCCCTTCCACCGTGAACCCTCCGCAATTGACACCCATAAATAATCGGAATGCCCATCCACCCTCGACCCCTAAACTCTAAAGACAAACCCCTTCCACCGTGAGCCCTAGATCCTAAGCTCCACGATCGAGCAATTGCGGCGTCCGAATACCATTGCACACTAAAGAGAGAGCGAGAAAGAGAGAAAGAGAGAAAGAGAGAAAGAGAGTTGCAAGGATCGATACGGTGCGGAGGGTCCACCGTGAACCCTAGATCCTAAACTCTAAAGACAAAGCCCTTCCACTGTGAACCCTAGACCCCTAAACTCTTTTCGGGGTCCGAGTTTACTCATTTCGGTTTGTCCGAGTTCTTGCATCATCTTTGTCGTGAGTTCTGAGTTCTTGCGTCATTTTGTCGTGAGCTACTTGTTCTGCATAATTGCCTAAACTCTAAAGACAATGCCCATCCATCAACCCGAGACCCCTAAACTCTAAAGACAAAGCCCTTCCACTGCGAACCCTCCACAATCGATACCTAAGACCCTGAACCCTTAAACCCTAAACCCTAAGCTCCTAAGCCCCTAAGCAATGGAAACCTAAACTGTAAAACCATGTATTAACCCTTCCAGCCTTAAAAACCTAAACCCTAAATCCTAAACCCCTAAGCAATTGAAACTAAACCGTAAAAACCTTAACCCCCTTTAACCCTTTAACCCCCTTTAACCCCCTTAAACCATAAACCCTAAAACCCTAAACACTAAGCCCTCAAACTATAAAACACCAAACAACTGAACTACAAGCATGTAAGGGGTAGTCAACCGCCCCCCCCCACAAATTGCCGGGGCAAAGATATCATTAGTGCATGGTTTTGTCCCCATCGAGGCAGCGAAGTGCTGAGCTGGCAGACAGGATACCGCAACAACCCACCTGAACTTCCAAGCATCATTTGCCCGAGGCTGATTTTTTCCGCCGCGCGACGAGTTTTGCCAAAGCAGCACGGGTGCAAAATTCTTTTTTTTTTCAGCTGACGTGCACAGCCTTTTCGATCCGACAGCCTAAGCCCCAGCACTAGAGGACTGTGCACGGCGGCGCTGGAACAATTTACTGGCGGTGAAATGTAGCCGAGATGGCTACCCACCCCCCAAATGTTGAGTGACCCTCTGGTCTCAGATGTCAAGGGTTTATTGGCGGTTAATTCTTGGGGAACCAGTGTGTAACCGCATGGACTCCGAGAAGCGATTACCCTAACTAACTCCGGTAGGTCGTAATTCCACTGCCTATCAAATGTTGAAAACCCCTCAGATCAAGAGACGTCATTAATTTTTTTTATTTTTTTTTAATTGAAGAAGAAGAAGAAGAAGAAGAAGAAGAATTGGGGGGTAGGGTTGCAAAATTGACTTGGGGGGGAGGGGCACAAAATTGTTGGGGCGTAGCAGTTAGTTTTATTGGGAGGGCTTTAGGCTTGTTTGGCTTTTAAGGACCTGCCTGTGGCATGATTTTTGTTTCCAGAGTTTGGAATTTCAGGGCAGCAGTCGAGAGTTGGCCATTTCTGCTCCTCGATCTTTTCTGGCCTCTGTTTGCTCTGTTTTGATCAGTGTTGATTTGATTATGATTATGATGGTGGTGCAGATACAGTTGTAACTAACACAAGAGTGATAGCACGCAGTGTAATTGAACACAGTCACTTATAAAGGCCGTAAGGCTAAACCGGCTGACGCTGCCGGGATAACTCCGGGGGTCGAATTGAGAGGTCCCTGGCCTCTTTTCAGCTTGGAATAACTGATTTTATGTGCACAAAAAAAAAAATAAAAAATGTTGGGGGGTGGGTAGCCTGCTTCTGCATAAGGGAAACCTCTGTTCTTCAGATCTAGTCAGCGCACTCGCGCTGCTGACGGCTGCTCTGGCCGTCGCCATCAACTTTGTTGTTGACGACAGCCGCCATTTTTGGTATGTTGGGGTGCTCGGCGGTTTCTGGGGATGTGGAAAGGAAGGTGGGGCGCTTGGGGATGGGACATTTATGATGTGAATACTTCCTATCGGACATCCCGCCGTCGCGGGTCCTTTGCCGTTTGTCACAAGTGACTGCATATCGTGTGGTTCAATCTATTGCCCTGCCCCCTGCCCTGCCCTTCAGATCTAGTCTGCTTTGCGAAAGGGGAGCTGCACCTACCTAGTCACAGTGTGGACGTCCAGGGAAGACTGCCAGCGCAGCAATCCAATCTTGTATTGGCCACTTCACTTCTGCCTCTGGGCTTCACCACAACGTCTGCACCTCTCCTGGGTAATGGACCAAGTACATTCTTTTCTGGCCGGCGAATTTTCGCAATCCAAATTTTGGTTGTTCAGGATTCCCCGTCCTTCGTCCTTCGACACGCGGTTAATGGAAGGCCCAAAATTTGGGGTTTTTCGCCGCATCACTACAAGCAATGTCGTCGAAACTTTTGCAAACAAACTATGCAGGCTCATAATACAAACATAAATAAAAAAAAAAACAGGCAAAAAAAAACGAAGAAAAAAAATAAACAGCACTCTAAAACCCTATCCGAAGTACCTTTCGAAGTTCGCCAAAACGTTTCCCGAATTCGGGAAAAACGTTTTTGCCAACTTTTTCGTTACTCGTCCAAATACGGCAAAACTGAATACAGATATACCCTAAAGCTTATACATAACACTGATATCAGGAAAAAATAAAATAAAATAAATCACGGACATATGGCAGTTTCGGTGAAAAATTCGCCGAAAATGACACCACCTATTGACCACGAGTGCGTCCTTCCCCTTTTTTTGTGTGGTAATAAAATGAGCAGAGTCTTTTTTCTTTTGTGTTTGGGTCTTTTTTTTTTTTTTTCTTTTTTTTCTTTTGTGTTTGGGTCTTCTTTTGAAGACTGAAGCGCATCTATTACAGTGGTGGTGCTCTTGCTTGCAACTTATAAAGCCTCGCGCCACTACACAAAAAAATTGCAATGTATCTGGGGTTGATTATTATCCGGGTACATTGAAAATGCCGTTCAGCCCGAATGTATTTGTACCATTTCTTAGTCCAAGTACATGTAGGAGGTGATTTCAGCACTTTTCTGCATAGTGACGAGTCAGTGGCACTGAGACAAAATCGTCGGTCAAATCCCCCCCTTTTTCTCCTCCCCTTCTCTCATCTTCTGGGCTTCAAAAGGAGAAGAAATGGGAGTTTTGACAGACTTTTATCCGAGTTAGTTCCCCCCCCCCAATCTTTTTATTTGGGGGGTGGAAGGGGGGGTGGAAGGGGGGGTGGAAAAGCTTTGATTATTTATTGCTACTAATCTAAAAAATGATGATGACCTGGCGATCTTGATCTAGAAGCCTCCCAAGATATCTCCATTCCGATTCAAAAATGCTCTTCTCTTTATCCGCTTGCGATTTCAAGGCAGCCAACTCATTCTTTGCTGCATCGCGTGAGGCATACCTGCAAAAGAATATATATATCATAAATATATATATATAAAACAAAAAATGAGAAAATTGTACAAAAAAAGAATGAAAGAAAGAAGCACACCTGCAAAAAAAAAAAA